GAAAAATAAATCTGTTCTTTTTTTCTTATAAAAGTCTAAATAAAGCTAAAATATTGGTGGTAATTTTTGACTGTGTAACTTTACAAACAGCACCCCATAGCTCTGCTGCTTAGTCGTTGTTCTGATACATTTAATACTGTGTTCTGCTCCTGTTAGCCTCTGTTCTGTTTGTTTTAACTTTGTTGTTCAGCTCTCATCATTCACACTACATTTTCATTGAAAAAACTATTATTCTTGTTATTTTAGAAGCAAAAGCCATCTGTTACTTTCATGAAACTAACTCCAGTGAATATCAACACAAAYCGTAGCATTAAGAGATCCTTTTTTGTTGAAGATTGGCAAAAATGACCACCTTCACTGTCTTACAGCCTCAACAGTTTCCTGGGATCTCAAAGCAGACACATTTGAACATAAAACTGCTGAAATGAAGGTTTTCTTGGTAAAGCTGCTGGTAAACTAATACAGCCGATGGAAATTAAGAAAAAGGTCTTTACTTGGTTGCGTCTGAATGACATGGATTCAGTACAAAATAAATTGAAGTATTTCTTTCTGAACTGGGTTCTGTAGTCTAAACATGTCACTATGCCAAAGAAAGCAGTGTTTGCTGTTACTGCTTTAGTTTATCTTGTTCATTAGTGTTTGAGAGGTTTCTTAACAGCTGTAAAGATATCATCTTGGGAACTCACAAGGAGGGGGGAGCCACCACCTTCTGGTCCTACATCCTGAATTTGCCTCTGTCCAGCAACTCCATAGTCAGCTGGAAGTTTTGCTACCTGCTGCACAAAGTGCTGAGGGACGGGCACCGAAATGTAAATACGCTGATTCATTTGCTTTGTTTATTCCCTGTATTTTGTTCTCAGTTCATTTTCATGGTGTAATTTTCTCACCTTTGTCTGATCTAAAGGCTGTTGCAGATTCTCACAGATACAGCCGCAACATGAAAGACATGGGGGTTCTGTGGGTGAGTACGTCTTACTGAAAACTTAACACTTAGAATCAAATCAGAACAAACTTCAGACTGTCGCTGTGTTTATTTACCGTAAGTCGCACATGAGCCTCTTATGACACATTTTGTCTGTTGGTTAAATTCTCTGAAATCTTAAATATTTATGTCATACTTTGGTCAAAATCCAAGAGATCATACAATAGCATCATTTTCTAGAATTTGAAAAATGCAAAGTGATTTGTGTGAGATTTTGTTTATGTCAGTCATTTATTTTCTCAAATATGTGCATTTTTATTTATTTTTTATCCTTTGGATACAATTTTGTCACTTGTTTGTCACTTGTTTGTCACTTGTTGGTTGGTGTACATAAAGTTGCATTATCTTCAACCCATTTTCTGTTTTTATAGGGAAACCTGCATGATCGATACGGCCACATTGTTGCCTTATCTGCTAAATACTTACATCTCAAAATAGAATTTCATGCAAAGGTAATACATTTTATGTATGTTCTGTGTATTTGTGGATAGTAGAGTTTTTCCTAATCAAACATTTTAAATCTTAATTTATTGTCACTCATATACAGTATATGCAAACTCACAGTAAGATTTTGTTCCCTTCATACAGAATGCTATGCTTTGAAAACATGTAATAATGTATGAAGTGTTCTAACATTAAATACTAAAACATCTTTAAAACTATATATATA